GTGAGCTGCCTCCCCTCTCACACACTGAGGGTAATCTCATTATTCAGCCCACTTCCTGCTGTGCCACCAGAGACAGGCTGACAGACACTAACCACCTCCACGGCCGGAGCAGAGAGGGGGAGAAAAAGGGAGGGGGGGAGATAAAGAAGAAGGGTAGAAACTGCTAACAGAAAGTTGATGGGAAGATAAAAGAACATTTGAGATATGTGATGAGAGAAAGAAGCGTGTAAAGCAACTAAAAATGGACAAGAAAGTCGGTAAAAGATGCAAATGTGTGTATTCAGAAGAGACAGAGGATGAGGAAGAGAAAAGGGGAGGGGAGAGGAAGAGCAAAGAGACTGTGTGTTTAAAGCCATGGGAGACCGGCGGGCTAAATAGAATTACGTGGTGAATTTAGAATGATGCTCCCAAGCGCATATTTAACACTGTCAACAGAGGGAGGGAGAGAGAGAGAGAGGAAGAGCCAGACACACACTGGGTGACGGGAGAGAGGAACTTCATCCGCAAAAAAAAAACCCTCTTAATCCAATATGAATGAGAGTTTCCAGCTCAGCAGAGACAGCTGGGAATAAAGGAGAGTGCAGGGGGGGGGTCTTAGGTGAGAAAATGCTGCGATCACACACTGACATCACAATAAGGCCCTTAAGTGGTTATCCTCACACACACACACACACACACACACACGCACACACACACACACACACACACACACACACACACACACACACACACACACGCAAACAGGTTTTGAGGTAACACACAACATGGTGAAGTTGAAAGACAATGGAAGTTGCTCTATTGCAACACTGATTTAAAAACAGGTTGGTATTCTATGTTCAATAAATAGAAGCAGAACCTAACCCAAAGGAAAACATGGGAAAAGTTTCAAAGAATTCTGTAAAATGTAAAAGATAAAGCATTTAAAAACATCCGTTGGTGTTAAGGAAATGTTGGCTAACTTTAAGGAGTGTGTGTGTGTGTGTGTGTGTGTGTGTGTGTGTGTGTGTGTGTGTGTGTGTGTGTGTGTGTGTGTGTGTGTGTGTGTGTGTGTGTGTTTGGTGATAGTTGGTGAAGTTAGGTAACTTGTATCATGTTACAATGATATAAAAATACCACGTTGTCCACACTGGTTACACACAAAGGAGTGACAATTATAAAGTTATGAGAATTTAAACTGGCTCTTCTCACTGTTGCCTTAATACAGCATTTTATTAAACAAAATAAACGCTTCTGTATTTAATTCATATGACTCGAAAAAAAAGGGAGAAAAGGAAAATGTAATAAATATGTGTGAGTGTGTGTGTGTGTGTGTGGCCTGGCATTACTATCCTTGTGGGGACCTAAATCTGTTTACACAGTCACGTGTGGGGACTTGCCTCCCTTATGGGGACATAATGGAGGTCCCCATAAGGGGAATCATTAATTTTAGGGTGAAGACTTGGTTAGGGTTAGGTATGTGTTGGTTATGGTTAAGGTTAGAATAAGTCTCCAGGAAATGCATGTAAGTCCCCTGAAGTGATGTATACATGGTATGTGTGTGTGTGTGTGTGTGTGTGTATGTGTGTGTGTGTGTGTGTGTGTGTGTGTGTGTGTGTGTGTGTGTGTGTGTGTTGATTGGTGGTGATTATATGTTGTGTTTAGCAGCTCAACCAGGATCTAGCATTCTTCAGTGTGAAAAGTCTCTGTCCCCTTTACACCTCAACACAGCTATATCCTCAACCAACACACACACACACACACCAATAAATACAACTTGAAGAAAAACCCACACACACACACACAACTTGAGATTTGCTGATTTTGCTCTGCAGAAGGGAAACTGCTGCCAAAGAGTTATCTTTATCTCTCCTGACAAAGCCAAACAGTGAAGGTAATTATCATTTCCCCCATAATGACATACGTAGTTCTCACTAATCTCCCCCTCCCACCACCTTGTCAACACCCCCACCCCCCCCCCCCAACAGTAGGGACCCCTCACCAGATGAGGAGCGAAGACCCTCCCTGACCCCCACCCTTCACCAACAGAGCATTTGGGGGGGGGGGGGGGGGGGGGGGGGGGGTAGGTTAACAGGGAAAGGGATCCCAAATGCAAACAGACAGGGTCCCCTCTCCATAGAGTCCTATAAATCAAATATAGAAGTATTTCTTCCTTTAGATCCGACGCTGTGACTTTAAATTCCTATAACTTCCTCCATTTCACTCCTTTGTGTGTATACAGTGTGGACTATGTGGTATTTGGATATCATTGTGATACGATAAAAGGTGCCTAACTTTACCAACAATCAACAAACAAACACACGCACACACACACACACACACACACACACACACACACACACACACACACACACACACACACACACACGCACACTCAACCAATTTTTCAGTTTTTCTTACTGCCGAATTTTATTCCATATTCTATTCCATTATTTTTCTATATAAATACTGCTATATTTTACTATCTTTTTATGTTATTATAGTTTTCTTAAAATAGTTCTCTATCTGTTTTTTTTATTGTTTTTACTTCTACGTATGCACCATGACATCAAGTCAAATTCCTCGTACATGTCGACCAACCTGGTGATGATTCTGATTCTGATTCTGACACACTCCCTAAAGGTAGGTTAACAGGGAAAGGGATCCCACATGCAAACAGACAGGGTCCCCTCTCCTTAGATCAGGGGCCCTGGTTGCCCCCTCTATCATTTGCCCTTGATTTTACACCAACAGACATTCATCCCCCCCCCCCCCCCCCACCACCAAACAAAGCTGTCAAATTCCTGACGTCTTAATCAATCCTGGATCCAGGACGCTGTCAGACGCAGCGGTAAGATGGATGCAGGAGGGGGTGACCTCTGACCTCTGCCAGGGGTGGAGCGTATAACTCCTATGTGCCCTATGTGCAGACCCCCCCCCCCTCCCTACAGCTCCAGTCTTAACCTCTTCCTCTCCCCCCCAAAACAGCGCCAGCCTCGGCCCCAAACAATGATGGAGGAGAGACCATTCATCCTGGGCTGGGAACCAGGGGCCAAGGTGCCCTCGTAACCCCACACGTATACAAGACAAGCGCACACACACACACACACACACACACACACACACACACACACACACATACAAATGAACTTCTGTGTCCTTTAAAAAGAAATATTCTGAACCAATTTAAGACATATAGTGTGAGCACACTCTCATGCACTCTTAAACTTTTAAGGAGGTTTTTTTAAAAACACACTTAAGCCAAGAAACTCCCTTAAAATCCACCCTCCCTCCCAAAAAAACAGCTTTAACTAACTGTTTGGTCAACATGGACATAAAGTGGAGCCCCTCTCCCGTAGAGCGTGTCACATTGGAGAATATTAACCAGCTCATCAGTGCTCTTGAAGACTGACAGCCCCTTTAACCCCTCAGTCCCCTGAAACTGACCCACACAGCGTCAAACCCAATGCATACTATCCAGTTTATAACTGAAAGTGAAATGCTAAGAAACTTTTCAGCAGTGTAACTGAAGCGGAGAGTGAACGGAGGAGGATGTGTTGGCACCGGTAACTCAAACAAACTCCAGCAGATGCAGTGATATGTGAACTAAATGGATGTATTGGCTTGAAAAGCATTACTGCCAGCTCAGAGGCTGGCAGGCACTACGAGACGGCATTACTCATAAAATATCAATGTGTCCAAAATACTTTATTGGAAACTTTGGGAAAGCATTTTATTTCAACTGAAATGAAAGAGAAGAGATAAGAAGTCTGTTTTAATTCTGCACGAACATTAGAGTTATGATGAGATCAGGGTTTTTGGAAACAAAAAGAGGTTATTATAGTCGATTGCATCATAGAAAGGGGTCTCTTTGCCTCAACCCCAACCAGCCCAATTTGCCTCCCCACCCCCAAGCAGAGAACAGTACCCCAGCCCTAAATCACCAGACCTGTTTGTCATGCAATTAGTCCTCCGAGATAAAGGCTCCCTCATAAATTAAGAGAGGTGTAGTGGTCCGGCCCCCTGTTAATCACCCATGCCCAGCCTCTGACCCCTCGCTGCTGACATGGTGGTGGGTGGCTGGTGGGCTCCACCAATAAACCATGGTGGCAGAATTGGCCTCCGCTCGTCTGGCCAGCTGACAACTGCGTCTCCACTTGGCAAAATGCTGCATGTGTTCCACAAAAGCAGCTGCCGAACACACCGAGATGCTTTCCACACTACGCTGCTGCACAGACTATAATCCACTGTGTGCAATGAAAAGTTAAATTAGGGTATCAAAAATGCCATTTCTCATGAGAGCTTGAAAGAAAAAAGAAAGATCTTGGCAGCGTCTAAAGGCAGTGTTTTAAATTCAGCAACATGCCGAAGCTCTACCATGCTCTCGATTTAAAAATATCTGAAAGGAGGCACTCGGCACTGACCTTAAAACCTCATCAAACAGCTCGGTACAGGGTCTCGTCAAATTGAGACGGGAATAATGGTCCACGATGGGCTATTCCCCCCTACCAAATAGCACTGTTTCAACCCCATCTCACAGCTGTGTATTTCCACTCTTCTCATACCTGGCCTGAATGATAAACTCTTTCTCTCTCCTTCTCTTCCTCTAAAGCTGTCTATCGCTGTGTTCCAGCTGGATTGGGAATAAGAGTAGGTGGGGGTGAAAGACCGACCAGTTGGAGCTCTACCTCTCCTCTCCCGGTGTCACCAAATGCCTCCCATTGCACAACACCTCCCAGTGGGCCTGCTAATTACTCCTTTAACAAATCATCATCACCCAGACACTGGAGAGAAGACTTGGGAGAGCGAGGAGTAAAAAGTATCCAACAGAGTGCGAGGTTGGTGAATCCGTTTGGCGAAAGGACAAAGAGAACAAAACATTGGGGACAAAGACAAATAGGGAGAGGATGGGGAGAAATTAAAGAGGGGGGGGGACAGGAAGGGTTTTAAAAGAAGGGATAATCTATAAATAGAGAATTGAAAAAAGCCCCAAAAAGCACAAGACAAATGTCGGTTCTCTCTACCTTGGCATTCTGCGTTGCGCTCCTCGTATCCAGGGTTACACAGGCAATTCCCAATGGGCACCAGCCACTCTCCGTCGGCCCCACAGTACATCTTAGGAACCTCCTTTTCCTCCGAATTATCCACGCACGATCCACGAATTTCCACAAGCGACGAGGTATCGGCTCCAGTGATGGTGTCGGGAAACTGGGCCAAGTTGCGCACCGCCAGGGGACACTTCTTGTAGAAGACCCTGACGGACACCAAAGCAATGCACGCTCCCACATCCTGGAAGGCCAAATAAAAGCCTTTCCGGCTCAAAGCGCCCACGTCTCGGACCTCCGTGTTCAGCTTCATGATTCGATCGCCGATGTCCACCTGAGTGAAGCTTTCGTCCGCGGCGATGGTGTCGATTTTGTCAAACTGGTTCTCGCGGATGTAGCGCTCCTTGTCGTTGTTGGACTCGTAGTAGTAGAGATTGAAGGTTTCCTTGCAGGTTCCCATGACCCCCGGGAGGCTGTTGCAGTCCCTCAGGGTGAACTTGATCTCGATGTAGACTCGCTGGGCTCCGCCTCGAGGGATCCAGTCTGTGCGGAGCCAGTTGTTCTGGTTTGGCTCCATGACGTTACACACCTGGTACGTCCGGATGGGAATGTTCTTTTCATCCATAATACTCACTTCCTCCCACTGGGGAAAAGGGACACAACAATAAAAAAATGTTACAAGGATATTCTTGAAGCCTCAATCTGCAAATGAATTACTTTTGTTTGAAATGTAAACCAAGAACTCTCAGAAGACTAGTGAAACACTTTCAATGTGTCATTGTTAAAGGGTAAAAACCTCAGAGAAATATTCAAACTAAATACTGTAAATGTGTAAATATCAAACACAACTGAGAGCCAGTCTATGCCAACAAGGAGGGATACTTTGCAAAAGAGCATGCAAGAAAGATTAGTCAATATTGAGTCTCAGCGGAACAATTCATTGACGGCTAAACGTAATGCATATTTCATGAATGGCACCTAATAGACTTGTAAGGTCCTAATATAGAATCATATCGATATTAATATTCATGGCTTCCCCTCAACTGCGAGAAAGGAAATGTATAATTAGCTATATGCATCTGTAAGTCCTACACTTAAATGAGTTTGGGAATAGTATACGCAATCATCTTTACACACACACAAACAGAACATGACTCAGGGTATCTGGAAAAAAAGGAAAAACGGGATTATGTGGATGCAGAAAACTAAAAGTCTGGATTCAATGCTAATGATCTAATGTGTGCCTGCTTTACATCAGCATACATGATGGAGAGTCAGAGACACACATGTTCCCTGCTGATGTTAGTATGAAACCGTAGGAGAGGGAGGTAAACGCTGACGTGGGGGTGCATGGATTACGTTATCCAAGCTTATTTTTTGCCAGGAGGGAATGTTTGTTTGACTTATGATAAAGTTCCCCTCTCGACAGATCACTGCGAGCATGTCTTGAGCGGCTCAAAGCGGTGCCTTCCCTTAAGTTTTTCACCGTGTGTTTTAAATAGAGCCTTTCACTGAGCTGGGCTGTAAACAAGATCCGACAGGCCTTTGGCTCCCACAGCTTCAACCATTTAGAGAAGTGTATAAAAGAAAAAGTCATAATGGAACAGTGGAAGATATGGGGTTTACGGTGCCAGATTTGATTTGACGCCTTATCATAAACAATCTGGATGAATGCCTTATTTCCCCCAGAGGAGGGTTTGGATAATGCTAAACATAGCTGCGGCTGTTTTGATTCGAGAAACCGTCCATCATTCCCCCGCCGTGCTCTCCTTCCTTTTGTTGTGGAAATCAAGCGTCGCTGAGATAAGGCCGCACCTTTCCCCCCCGATAGCAGGGAAGAAGGAGAATAAGGCCAATTGGTGGTAATGAGAGGCTGAATGCAGGCTTGACTGGGATGCCAGGACCCTGTCAATCACTTGTTTGTGATAAAATGGCCGCGAGGAGGGTGGGGGGAGGGGGAGGGGGGGTTTGAACGCAGCAATCGGCCAAGTTCATCGTTTGGGAGCAGAGCCTGTAAACAGCTGCACAAGGTTGGACATCTGTTCCCTCTGGATGCCGATTCATTAGTTCACATGATTGTCTCTCATTTGTATTAATTTAGTACAAAAATGTATGCGTTGTGTTTATCATCACATTTCCTCTATGGAAACAAACTGTGGAGTTACAGCTGACTGTGAAAACACTGTTGAATTTGAATTGTATATTTAGGTGTGTACTTGTTTCCTGAGAAATCCCATTTAAATTAAGAAATGTTTGTATCAACTTCAAACCGTCGAATCTACGGTTTCACTGGGCCTATCTGCATGAAACAAAGACTGGCGCAGAGTTTCAAGCCAGCACTTTCGACAGAAGCAGCAGTTTTTATGCGGTGCCGGCTTGAACAGGTCACATGACTCCTAAGGGTTAAGGTATGGCATGTGCAAGAATGAAAAGGCTGCCTTGTGTTCATCATCACATTTCTCTTTGGAAACAAACGGTGGAGTTCGAGGTGACTGTGAAAACACTGTTGAATTTGAATTTGTATTTAGGTCTGTACTTGTTTTCTGAGAAATCCCATTTAAATTAAGACTTGGTTCAGGTATAGCATGTGCCTTACACCTTTCCTGAACCGTCTAATGCCCGTGGCACATCCTAACACGTTGGGGGCCCTCGTTCTTTCTCTTATCGGAGCCATATCCCAATTAGACTGCAAGGATCACACATTTGCTTCGACCCTGTGTCCCGTTGCTTTACAGCGAGATCCAGTCGTCCTGCGGCAAGAGCTAAACCCCTCTGCACTTTCCCCCCTTATTCATCCACTCCAGAGGACCCTCTCTCAGCTGCCAAGCCCCTCTCCTTCTCCCTCTCTTCCACTCAATGGTGGAAAGGGATATAAAGTTTCTCCACAAAGACCGATTCAATCCACCGTCTATTCAGGAAACCTGACGCCCGCTGCAGTATCGCCTCCTGCATCTGACCATTACAGAGAGCGGTTAGAGAGAAGGGGATCGAGGAGAAAGGGGAGCAGTGGGTTGGGGCTGAGGGGGGGGGGGGGGGCTGCCTATAGACCGGTGGTTCTCAAAGTGGATTTTAGGGACCTCATGGGGCCCTGGAGGTTGTTTGGAGGGTCTCTGTATCCTAGAACAAAACGGCAAATTCTATTTCACCATATTTTAGTGTAAAATGCCTTCATCTCGCCCTTAGCCTTTATCCCCAGACAGCTGCACAGTAAATCATCAACAATGATATTCCCATAAAAGGCTCACCAGGACTAAATCTTATCAAAGAGCGCTGTGTATGTGATTGGCGGTCCACTCCACATCTCTTGCCAATAATGGATATTATCTCTCCATTTTTGCTCAATAGGGGACCATGCGTCCTAACAAGGGTACACTTCTTTGCAGAACTTACCCCTCCTTCTGTCGGATTGGCGACCCATCCCAGCTCCCCCTGTACGGATCTGGAGTCCAATAACGTGACTGGAAAACAAGAATGGGAGAAGTGAGCAAATCCAAAAAAAACATCAGCAAGTACATTATGATCCGCTTGGGTCTGACACACTGAGAAATACAAATTGGTTTCAAATGAAGACATAATGAATTGAAAACAATGCTTTGCTGTTTGTATTCTTCCCTAATGTTTTTAAATACAGACATGTTCTCATGATGGATGTACACAAAGAGAATAAATACCAGGCCATCGAGTCTTGTGCGTGTTTTGTTATGCGTAATTCCCTGCTGTGCCAAACGCATGTCGTTTTTGATCGATTTTTCGTTAGCATAAAGATTTAGCTAGAAACACAAATGTCTTTCCCCAGTGTCTTTAAAGAAATGCTCTTTCATTTTGCTCAGCCGTCGGCCCGAAGCACGTTTGATGTGATCGGAATCAATTAGGGAGCCGTGTGCTGTGGGAAACTTGGGACGGTGAAGAACAAAACGCATTTCAAATACTTGAGACAGACGTCTTGCCTCACACAACAATTTATCGAGAAAAAGGTAAAACAGGACGTCTGTGAATAATTAATTAAAACATATGTTCGATTGAATAAAACTGCATTAAGTATTCCTGTTTTTTAGGGGGTTTGAATCCGGTGTGAGTAAATCAGCTGCTCGGTATAAATTAATAAACAAGCCCGTTATGCAAGTCCACCATATAAATTATTAGGTACAATACAGACTGTTCCTTTTTAAATTTGAAACATTTGTTTGATATGTAACTTCCCTGAGCCCGGGCTGCAGCATTTTGTACTTGTTGTGTCAAACAGCTCTGTGCCGAGCAGATAAAGAAACATCATTCTGCAAGAGACAGACTCCATGCATTAATGTGATGGTTTAAGATAAAATAAAGTACTTTATTCATTAGTATGTGCACTGGAAAGTAGTGCATTTAGACCCTGTATTGGGCCTAACATTTGGAAACTGGACACCCTGCACCCCGGGACCCCGAGCAGGCAACTGGAGTCCCGAAATCTCCCTAGCTCGTGTGTGTGTTGCTCCATTGAAACATCGTGCACTTTAACGTTTGGTCGCCTTTAAGAAAACCTGAGAGCATAAAACCGAAGAACTGTTTTTATTCTCCATGCACCTTTTTTATTTTATTCGGTGTGCATCCAATACACCAAAGCTGCACAGTTCAACTTTTACAATCGGGTTTACTGTCATTCCCATAATCACCGTTCAGTTCAACCCACTGTGATAGCAGGAGCGATCACTGAGAGATCATCTGAAATTGATAACTAAAGATCTGCTTGGCCCGTGTGCGAGTCTCCCACTGACTTGTACACTTCACTGATATTTAAAAAAACCACGTAGGCTATTTTTTAATAGACGCTATACACATTCAACTAATATTGTATGCGTAAAGCAGCTTGACCTTCTCTCCAAACAGAGAGATCAGCACGTATCGCGGCTGCAAGCATTTCTGCTCCCCAGGCTCTCGGCTGCTCCAAAGCCCGAGCCGAGACCCAACCAGCCGCTGCGCATTTGGGAAGCCACTTCTCC